AATTGCTAAGATATTTAAGCTTAAAGTCAAGAAAACTTTTACTTAGAAAAAATTTGTTCCTTTTCTATTGACTCCCCCCTATATCCTAATGTATATTAGCCCCAAAGTGGTTTTTCTGTTTACAAAGTTGCAGTTAATTTAAAAACATGTTAGAAAATTAAATAAATTAAGTTATTAAAGATAATAAATAGTGTCAGCTTAACTAGACTAGTTTGACTATTAAACTAAGCCAATTTGACCAATTTGATTAGTCTGGTCAAAAAATCTATACTGGTCAAATTGATCAAGCAGAATATTTAAATATAATTTATTATATAATATATATATATATTATAATTATATAATAGGCTTAACCAATTTGATTAGCAAATTTTTGGTTATCTATAATTTGCCCAATACTAATAATAAAGTAAGAAACATTAAATTTATCTAGCAACTCTTGTGACTAGCTACTATTAATTTGGCAAAGCCTAATGCTAGGTTTTTCTAACAGACAGAATCTAATAAATAGTCAAGTTTACAATTACTAATGCAAAAATTTTTTAATATAAGAGTATAAAAATAAATAAAATAAATAAATAAAAGAGTTATAAATTGATAAGAATTTTATATTTATTAATTTTTAACTCAAGTAATAAATTAGAAAATATGATTTTCATATAGGAGCCCAATTTCTAAATTTATAATATAATTATTATAGTTCTATTTTAATACTTTATCATATATAAATTAAAGTTATAATATTGCAAAAAATTATTTATTAAATTCAATAAATTCATACAAATTAACTTTGATTATGTATATAAAATTATTTGATTATATTTTAAATTATATAATTTAAATAAAATTAAGCTAGTATTTTTGCAGAGTTCTAAGACTTTTCTTCTAGATTATTGTAATCAAGATTTAATAAAATTGAAGTATTATTTTGCAAAGATTTTTTATTAAAACTTTTCCTTTCTAAAAGCATAATAATAATGTAATAAAGTAAGTATTTTATATACAGTATAAATAAACAGAAGAAAACATACCTGTTCCAAAGTGAATCTCATACATGTTGTAATTAATTAAAACTTATGTGGGATTTACTTTAGATCAGATATGTTTCTTTCTGTTTTTTGCATAAATATCAACTTTTTACTACCCAACCCACATTCCTAATATTTGAAAAGTATTTTTATATTTTTTAGTATAGTTATACGAGATCTGTTAGGTATCAATTGTGTCTACACTATATAGCTTAAGTGTATTATTAGGTAATTTTGCTAAATTCTTTACAAAAACTTGCTATTTTTTAAATTCATATAAAAAAATTTAATAGTAGTAATTAGTTGTTTCACTTTTATCTACTTCTTTCAAAAATTCAGCTATCATTAATATAGTCAAAAAAAATCTGTTTGCTTGGGGTTAAAGAGAAATTATTTATAAATATGGATTAAAAGGCATTGAAAACAATTGAAATACTAAAGACCCATAAGCCTAATTATTTTGTAGTAGCAGAACAAATAGTACTTGTGATAATAAAACTAATGATACTTGTAATGAGAATAGTAAAGCTACTAAAAATAATGATAATAGTACTTGTAATGATAATAATAGTGTTGGTAATAATAAAGCTTGTAATAGTAATAATAGTACTTGTAATAATAGTTGTGATGCTTGTGAAGAAGAGAAATATAATTTTTTAGATCTCTTAGTATGAGAAAAAAAAAGTTGTATTAGAGGGTCTTTAATTGTAGCCAACCTTTTGTTCTATGTATAGTCAAACTCCTCTAAATATATCCTCCCTAAATACAGCACCCCTCTAAATGCATAATATAAGCCCAGGCTCATGGTGGAACTTATAGATAAATGCATGTTCTTTATTCTGTAAGTGCACTCTAACTGTTTGGTCTACTTATAAAAACTTCCTTTATAAATGCATTTACGTGATTACTAGCTAATTAAATTCATTATTTCAAGACTACTAAAGTTATATTATCACGTGCTAACAGTAATATTGCGATTTTATTAGTGTTCTCTAATTGCAGCCCTCCCTAAATGCATATTCTAGAGGTGGTCCTGGCA